GCATCAAAGTTGGGTAGCCGTGGCGGGGTTCGAGCCTCGGACTATAGAGTCCGAATCACGCCGGTGAAATCGACCAAACCACTGAACCACAATAAGTCGCATACGCGCAACAATGAAAAATATGCATCCTATAAATCAGCGGTTTGCCAAATGAGGAAATAATGGTGATAAACAGTCATTCAGATTGTGATTACACACTCGAATTGGATAAACTTAGCTCTTAGCCTTAGCATTGTTGGTCCGATTTCCTCACCAGAATCGGGGCAATGCGAGGTAGACAGCGATGTTCGAACAACGACAGTCTACCTCGATCATGTTCCAGTAATGGCCAAGTCTCTGCGTCGTATAGCAGAACTGGCCGAATTGCAGCAGCGTATACTCGGCCTTCCACATACAATCGGATAAACACTAGCAGGTATTAAAAGATGTAAAAATTCATGAGTGACGGTTAGTAGGGTAGCCAGAAGCCCACACGACTAACAATGGAAGCACAACGTACCTGAGAAGTTTCAAACGGTTCCTCGACTTCTTTGAAACTGGCCAACAGCCGAATGTCCGTACAAATTTTGTGTATACTCGCACCGAGACTGGACAACACATTCACGATCTCCGTATCCAGTTTCCGTGGATACGTCTGACCGGTCACTTGCCAGAGGCGTTGGAATCCAGCTTTTGCGGCCAGCAATTGATCAAGTTTTAGAACCTTGGTTTTGTGCGTACGTGGGGGGGAGGGCGAGTACAACAAGGGAGGAGTAAGGAACTTAGTTGGCATACGGAGCTATCCACGTTCAAAACCCGGTTAATGAGATTTTCAACGAGATAACGGCTTAAACAAAATCCTGCTGTCGATATGTGTAGGATGGTCGGTAACAGAAATCAAGACAGCGTGGCATCTGGTGCAAGAGTCTCTGACAGATCGTGAAAGAAATGCCAAATCGAGCTGTAGTGAGTTAGAAACAAAACAAATTTGCGTCGTGACCTGAATGTATGCAACTAGCTCGTCGATAAACTGTCACTGAGTTCAAACATCCAATTGGAAGTCACTTTGTGCGTGATGCCCAGAAAAGAACGCCAGGCTACTGTTTCTTCCTTAGGCATATATCAGAGTAAGAACACACAAATCACCAATCGATGTAGCTATGTACTCAAAATGTGACTTATCGGTTGTATAGCTCATAGTTAGGGGTTTCGGCTATCAACCGGCAAGTGCACGGTTCGAGTCCCAGCAGGTATACAAACGCAGGACACATGACTGATATGCACCAATTCCTGTACAATGTACCTTGTCGACCATTATACACAAATTCAGCACTGATAAAATGATACAATTATCTGAGACGATTCCAGAAATCACTAATTTTAACAGTTTTCATTGTGACATTGACCAATACTATCTACAAACAGCAGTAGTCATTTTTGTCTTATACCCCGTATTTGTTTTGATGCGTTAGTAAGCTACAGATGAATAGTAAAGGGAGATATTTTTGAAAAAGAATCGTTAATTAAGTTTTACGCTTCCCTAGGACACAATATCATTTCAGTCTGGACTCTCTCTCTCTCTTACTCTCTACTGAGACTTACGGCAGTTTTCATTCTATCCGCCCACTGTTCGGGCAAACTTAAT